GTCCCGGGTTCAAATCCCGGACGAGCCCAGCTTTCATTATGGTTCAACAACTAAATTTTCCATCCTTGTTGCATCTGTAGTTTTGTTTACACTTTGGACACCAAATAAAACCAAGGTTCAAAGGCTCGTTGGTCTAGGGGTATGATTCTTGCTAAGGGTGCGAGAGGTCCCGGGTTCAAATCCTGGACGAGTCCAGCTTTAATTATGGTTCAACACCTATATTTTCCATATGTTTTGCATCTGTAGTTTTGTTTCCATTTGGCACTCCAAATAAAACCCACATTCCATGGCTCGTTGGTCTAGGGGTATGATTCTCGCTTAGGGTGCGAGAGGTCCCATGTTCAAATCCCGTACGAGCCCAGCTTTCATTATGGTTCAACACCTATATTTTCCATGTGTTTTGCATCTGTAGTTTTGTTTCCATTTGGCACACCAAATAAAACCCACATTCCATGGCTTGTTGGTCTAGGGGTATGATTCTCGCTTAGGGTGCGAGAGGTCCCGGGTTCAAATCCCGGACGAGCCCAGCTTTCATTATGGTTCAACACCTATATTTTCAATGTGCTTTGCATCTTTAGTTTTGTTTCCATTTGGCACACCGAATAAATTGTCTAGGGGTATGATTCTTGATTTGGGTGCGGGAGGTCCATGGTTCAAATCCTGGAAGAGCCCAGCTTTAATCATGGTTCAACACCTAAATTTTCCACTCTTGCTGCATCTGTAATTTTGTTTCCACTTTGGACACCAAATGAAACCAATGTTCCATGGCTCGTTGGTCTAGGGGTATGATTCTCGCTTTGGGTGTGAGAGGTCCCAGGTTCAAATCCAGGATGAGCCCAGCTTTAACTATGGTTAAATTTTCCACATCTGTTGCATCTGTAGTTTTGTTTCCACATTGCACACCAAACAAAACCCACGCACCATGGCTAGTGGTATCATTCTTGCTTCGGGTGCGAGAAGTCCCGGGTTCAAATCCTGGAAATGTCCAGCTTTAATTATGGTTCAACACCTAAATTTTCCAACCTTGTTGCATCTCTAGTTTTGTTTCCACTTGCACACCAAAAGAAAATCGTTGTTCCATAGCTCGTTGGTCTAGGGGTATGATTTTTGCTTCGGGTGCGAAAGGTCTCGGGTTCAAATCCCGGATGAGCCCAGCTTTCCTTATGGTTAAACAACAAAATTTTCCAGCCTTGTTGCTTCTGTAGTTTTGTTTACACTTTGGACACCAAATAAAACCAAGGTTCAAAGGCTCGTTGGTCTAGAGGTATGATTCTTGCTAAGGGTGCGAGAGGTCCCGGGTTCAAATCCTGGACGAGCCCAGCTTTAAATATGGTTCAACACCTATATTTTCCATATGTTTTGCATCTGTAGTTTTGTTTCTATTTGGCACACCAAATAAAACCCACATTCCATGGCTCATTGGTCTAGGGGTATGATTCTCGCTTAGGGTGCGAGAGGTCCCGGGTTCAAATCCCGGACGAGCCCAGCTTTCATTATGGTTCAACACCTATATTTTTTATGTGTTTTGCATCTGTAGTTTTGTTTCCATTTGGCACATCAAATAAACCCACATTCCATGGCTCGTTGGTCTAGGGGTATGATTCTCGCTTAGGGTGCGAGAGGTCCCGGGTTCAAATCCCGGACGAGCCCGGCTTTCATTATGGTTCAACACCTATATTTTCCATGTGTTTTGCATCTGTAGTTTTGTTTCCATTTGGCACACTGAATAAAACCCAAATTCCATGGCTCGTTGGCTTAGGGGTATGATTCTCGCTTAGGGTGCGAGAGGTCGTGGGTTCAAATCCTGGACGAAAGCAGCTTTAATTATGGTTCAACACCTATATTTTCCATGGGTTTTTCATCTGTTGTTTTGTTTCCATTTGGCACACCAAATAAATTGTCAAGGGGTATGATTCTCGATTTGGGTGCGGGAGGTCCATGGTTCAAATCCTGGAAGAGCCCAGCTTTAATCATGGTTCAACACCTAAATTTTCCACACTTGCTGCATCTGTAATTTTGTTTCCACTTTGGACACCAAATGAAACCAATGTTCCATGGCTCGTTGGTCTAGGGGTATGATTCTCGCTTTGGGTGTGAGAGGTCCCAGGTTCAAATCCAGGATGAGCCTAGCTTTATCTATGGTTAAATTTTCCACATCTGTTGCATCTGTAGTTTTGTTTCCACATTGCACACCAAACAAAACCCACGCACCATGGCAAGTGGTATCATTCTTGCTTCGGGTGCGAGAGGTCCCGGGTTTAAATCCTGGAAGTGTCCAGCTTTAATTATGGTTCAACACCTAAATTTTCCAACTTTGTTGCATCTCTAGTTTTGTTTCCACTTTGCACACCAAAAGAAAATCGCTGTTCCATAGCTCGTTGGTCTAAGGGTATGATTTTTGCTTCGGGTGCGAAAGGTCCCGGGTTCAAATCCCGGACGAGCCCAGCTTTCATTATGGTTCAACACCTAAATTTTCCACCCTTGTTGCCTCTTTAGTTTT